CGAAGAAGTGCACCTTCGGCGTCCAAGGGGGCAAATTCTTAGGCTACATGGTGAGCCGAAGGGGTATTGAGGCCAATCCCGAGAAAATCCAGGCCATCATCAACATGGAGCCCCCACGCAATGTGAAGGAAGTTCAACGATTGACGGGCCGCCTGGCAGCCCTCAACCGCTTCCTATCTAAATCGGCGGAAAAATCTCTACCCTTCTTCCAGATCATGAGGAAGACGGCTGGCTTTCTATGGACTCTAGAATGCCAGGGGGCTTTCGACGAGCTCAAAAGATATCTATCTTCACCTCCTGTGCTCTCCAAACCCAAGGTAGGGGAGACCCTCTACCTCTACCTTGGGGTCAGCCGGCGGCCATCAGCTCTGTGCTCATTCGGGAGGAAGACGGCGTCCAACATGCCATCTTCTACGTTAGCAAGACAATAAGGGAGGCCGAGCTCAGGTACTCCCCTGTGGAAAAAACGGTGTTGGCCGTCGTTTGGACTGTCAAGAAGTTGGGCCACTACTTTCAGGCTCACCCAGTTCAGGTCCTCACTCATCAACCCCTCGGCGCCCTCATGAGGAGCCCCACCAGCTCCTCCCGCATGGTTAAATGGGCTATCTTCTTGAGCCAGTACAACATTGACATCCGTCCAAGGCCTGCCATCAAGGGCCAAGCCCTAGCGGACTTTGTGACGGAATGTACCGCAAGGGCAGCCACGGACGGGGAGCCCTCGGCTACCTCGGACGACTGGTGGACCCTCTACACTGACGGCTCCTCCGCGACCAAAGCATGCGGGGGAGGGGTAGTCCTCATTACTCCTGAGGGCTTCAGGGCATACTATGCAATCCGCTTCTCCTTCAAAGTCTCCAACAATGAGGCCGAGTATGAGGCCCTCCTATGTGGCCTCCGGCTGGCTGCCAACATGAGGGCTCGGCAGATCCACATCAAATGCGACTCCAAGTTGGTCGTTGGCCAAATCTCCGAAGAATATGAGGCCAAGGAGGGAAGAATGAAACAGTACAAGGAAGTGGCTAAGGAGTTGCTTAAGGTATTTGAGGCACACTCTCTTACTCAAATACCGAGGGCTCAGAACTCCGAGGCCGACATATTGTCTAAGCTCTCGGCTGACTCCCCCGAGCACATCTCCAAAATTGCCAATATCGAGGAACTCAGCCTCTCAAGCATCCATGCAAGCCCCGTTATGAACATACAACAACGACAGGAGGATTGGATCTCAGATATCACCGCCTTCATCTCCACAGGCCAGCTACCCGAGGATGAGGCCCGCGCTAAACTGGCAAAACTGAGGGCTCCCAGCTACGCCATCGAAGATGGGAGGCTCTACAAACGATCTTACAATGGCACGCTACTTCGGTGCCTTCATCCAGATGAAGCCGAGGTCGCAATGGAGGAAGTGCACAGTGGCACTTGCTCAGCTCACCAGGGACCCTTCTCCATGTCCCGAAGGCTCATTTTCCAGGGCTACTTCTGGCCAACCATGGCCAGGGACTGTGCTGACCTTGCCCGGAGGTGCACCGCATGCCAACATTTCCAGAAAGCTCCCGGCAGACCAGCGGTCAACTATGCCCCCATCAGCACCTCTGTCCCGTTTTCCCGATGGGGGATAGACCTTGTGGGCCCTCTGTCGAGGGGTACCTCCAACAACAGATACATCATTGTGGCCGTCGACTATTTTACCAAGTGGGTGGAGGCTGAACCCCTCGCCAGCATCACAGAGGCAAAGTGCCGTCACTTCGTCCTCAAGAACATCCTCACGAGGTTTGGCGTCCCCCAGCAGATCATCTCCGACAATGGGACACAATTTGAGGCAGCCCCCTTCTGTGCCCTTCTGGAGGCATGGGGCATCAAACACACCTTCTCCTCCGTTGCCTACCCTCAAGGCAACGGGCAAGTAGAGAATGCCAACCGGACCTTGCTCGAGGGCCTCAAAAAGAAGCTGGAGGCCGAGGGCGGTGGCTGGGTAGAAGAACTTCACAACATCCTGTGGGCCTACCGCACTACCCCTCGGCGCGCTACAGGTGAAACACCCTTCTCCCTCTGCTACGGTTTTGAAGCCAAAGCTCCTACGGAAGTCACCCTTCCTACCCGAAGGGTGATCCAATACGACCCCGAAGTCAACGACAGCAACATGGCCCTCGACCTCCACCTCATTTCAGAACGCCGGGAGCAGGCCTTCATCCGGGCAGAAAACTACCGGAGGCAAGTTAAATGCTACATCGACGCCAAAGTTCGCACCCGAGAATTTCAAGTGGGGGACTATGTCCTCCGGAGGAGGGAAGCCAGCCAACCAACCGAGGGAGGAAAAATGGCACCAAAATTCGAAGGCCCCTACATCATAGCAGCCATCATAAAACCCGGGACCTACAAACTCAAACGCCCCAATGGGAAAGAAGTCCCTAGGCACTGGAATGTACACCATTTAGTTAAATTTTATCAATAATGTAAGAGCGGCCAGGCCCTCATAACTAGTGAATGTACTATCATATGGCCCAAGGCCTCCAATTTCGAAGAATGAAGATACATTCAAGACATCAAGCCCTCATACTGACTACAAGCCCCAGGCCTCACCACGAGAAGAACCCCCTCCGGCACCAAGTGCCGAGGGAGGACACCATCAACACCTAAAACAAACAGTGAAAACACCAAGTGTTCCTACAGAAGACCCTTCGGCACCCAGTGCCGAGGGTACACCTCCATCATCAAACATCAAAACGAAGAAAAACACCAGATGATTCAAAGAAGACCCCTCGGCACCCAGTGCCAGGGATATGCTCTCCTATCAACTTCCAAACATCTGTGGGGAAACACCAAGTGTTTCCTCCGAGGGCCCTCCGGCACCAAACACTCCAATCAAAACACCAAGTGTTTCATTTGAAGACCCTTCGGTACCAAGTACCGAGGGTAGACACCTCCATCAACTGCAACAAAGGAGAACACCAAGTGTTCCTACAGAAGACCCCTCGGTACCAAGTACCGGGGGCTACACATCGAAACTAACACCAAGTGTTGTTTCTAAAAGCCGTACCCCACGAGGACGCATATACCGAAGGCGCCACCATCGGTGCCGGCGGCACGTAGTGCCCCCGGCCATTTGCAACTAGTGTGCAAATGAAAACCCTTCCTTGAAACGCTTTCCGCGTCAATACCCCCAGGGTATGACAGGCATGAGAAATGCCCAGGATTTGACTTTCAAAAACGGAACGCTATCCGCGTCACTACCCCCAGGGTATGACAGGCATGAGAAATGCCCAGGATTCGACTTCCAAACCGAAACGCTCCCCGCGCCACCACCCCAAGGGTGTGGCAGGCCACAGACTATGTCTAGCGCCGAGGGGACGACTTTCAAAAATGAGGCGCTTTCCGCGCCATCCCCCAAGGGGAGGCAGGTTACGGACCACCATATCTTGTGCCCAGGAAACGTCCCTCGATCCCCTCGGCACTCGGAAGGTTAACCCGAGGGAGGAGAGCCATTGGTGTATTCTGATGATCTCCTAATAGGCCCAGCCTTACCAAGAAACCAAGTTTCTTGATGCCTTCCCTTCACCACCAAAAAAAAAAAGGGGGGGGGGGTGAAGGGGAGTAGACTCAGCGAGAAATCAAAGAGTACACTCCAACAAAATCACAACATGCTGAGGGCTCCCCACGGGAACACCTCCGGCAATTGAAGACTCCTATTTCCCGAAGGATACTACTCAAGGAAATATCATCAGGAAACGGCTAAGTCCACTACCTGGTCACCCCCGGTCACAAAGACACCGAAGGCTTCAACAACACAAAGGGACTGGACTGTCCAAGGTCCACTAAACGGTACTTCAAACAAACACCGAAGGCATCCGTTATGCACAAATATCGAAGGCCCTTTCCCCATGACAAGGATCAAATTCTACGACTTTTAGAGTGTATGCCGAGGGCACACACTCCTCATTGGCTTTCTTCACGACAACAGGATTCAACATCAATTTATGCTTAGAAAAAATTCTAAGTCCTGAAGGAGCAGCCCCCGGGCACCCGAAGGCTACACAGGGAAGCAGCACTTGAAAAATTCTAAGTCCTAAAGGTGGAGCCCCCGGCCCAATCAATATTACAGCCAAGGGAATATGGTGGCCGAAGGCCATGCAATACAACAACACTTAAAAAAAAGAGGGTATTCTGTCCTAAATGAGTAGCCCCCGGGCATCTCACAAAGTGATGTGGAATCAAAGGGCACCCATCACCGAAGGCTCCCAAGGGGGATTTTACATTTAGAATATTTTCTAAGTCCTACATGTATTTCCCCCCGGTCAACTACTCTTACATCAGGAAGGGATGCCATCTCCCGAAGGCTCCCAAAGGAGACTTTACACTTAGAATATTTTCTAAGTCCTACATGCTTTCCCCCCGGTCAGCTACTCATACATCATGAAGGTATGACACCTCCCGAAGGCTCTCGAGGGAAACTCTACACTTAGAAGATTTTCTAAGTCCTACATATTTCACCCTCATCTCAAGGGACCTAATTGCCGAAGGCTACCTATCAATCGAGGGCTGCAATTCACAAGGAATCAACACTCAAGAAAATCTCCTAAGTCCTAAAGAATTAGCCCCCGGCCTATTCAATATTACAGGTGGGGCTCCACAGTAGCCGAGGGCTACATGGCATACTACACTTGCAAAAATCTCTAAGTCCTGTGCATTGGGCCCTCGGTCCAACATTCACACATCAGGAATGGGCGCCGTATCCCGAAGGCTCTCAAGGGGGAATCTACACTTAGAGATTTTCGCAAGTCCTAGGAGGTGGGTTGCTACAAACGCCCGAAGGCCTCATGCTGTGCTACACTTAGAAAAAATTTCCTAAGTCCTAATTGCTGCCGAACCATCGGTTGCATATCCAGCAGAGGGTGCCCAACTACCGAGGGCTCCTAAGGGCTAGCTACAATCAGATAGTATTCTAAGTCCTAGACATACATTCAAAGGAGAAGGCATACATTCAAAACATAAGGCGTATCCGAATATGAAAAGCCCGGAGGCAGCATGCATTTCATCAAAAACAAGAGTAAGTGTGAATTTACAAACGGGCCGAAGCCGAAAGAAAAATGTTGTTCATTACAAAAGATGTTCAAAGATTTCTAAGTATAATGTCATTCCACAACTACGACAGCATCGTTCACTGGGGCGCCCTCTACAGCCGGCCTCGATGATGCCTCCGCTCCGGTCTCGACAGCGTCGTCCTCGGCCTCATTCTTCAACACCGTGTCCTCAAGGTCGGGCCTCTGAACACCTTCCGGGAGCGGCTCACGGACATCAGGCTGCAAAGGAGGAAGGCCATACGCCGAGGGGGAGAAGTCCTTTTGCTCAATGCCCAAATGTCGGGCCATCCTCCGGTAGATGAGGACCTGGGTGAAGAATTCGCCGGCTTCATAGTACTCTCTGCCCTTCCGGGCCATCCATTCCCACCCAGGGCCCTCGGCCCATTCTTCAACACAGGCCTCCACGACCGAGGACGCCCACATCTTGCGCCCCTCGGCTCTCCAACCCTCGGCAACAAAGGCCTCAACGGCCTCCTCCTGAGCCTTGGCGACAGCTAGTGCTTTGGAGTCCTCGGCCTCTTTAGCAGCTCTCCTGGCAGCGGCCTCAGCATCAGCCTTGCCTTTCTCTGCAGCCTCCAGTTTCAAGCTCATCTGCCGGAGCTCCTCTTCTAGCTGGGCCCCCAGCTTCACCGCCTCCTGGTTCTTTAGGAGGCACTCCCTCATTCTGGTGTCTTGCTCAGCTCTATGGAGGCGCCATTCTTGAAGCCTCCGAGCCTGTTCGCCGAGGGCTAAGCAAGCCTGCAGAACAACAACAAAAACAGTTAAAGGCAGTCACACAAAATAATAAAAGGAGAAGATGGAGAAAGCCAGGTAAACACTTACAGAGAGGGAGGAGCGGAGAATGTGGTCCTCGAGGGCCGCATCATTATAGGCCCCGAGGGCAGCCCTATCCGTCTCAGGGGTCATACCCCTCAGGATGGCCCCCGGGTCGACGGCGCCGCTGGCCAAAGATGTACCTCTCGGGAACGCGACTGTGAGGATCTCAGGCAGCGACTCCTCTGCCCCCGCCGGCGTTCCACCCGGCAGCTTCTCCACCTGCACCCCGGAGGCGGGGGGCTCATCAGCGATAATGACCGAGGGCTCCTTCTCGGCGACATCCCCCTTTTTCGGCTTTTTGGTAGCCGGGGGGGACCCCTTGGTCACTGCCTTCCTCTTGCCGGCAGCGGCATCGCCCTCGGCTTTCTTAAAGAGGGCGGTGGCGGGCTTCTGGATGCCCTGTCCCGACCCCTTCGGGTCCTCTTTCTTCAAACGGGCAAGGCCCTTTACATTCACCATGGAGACGGGGATACCTGCACAGAGGAGACAAAGGGTTAGTCCGACGGGTCTAAGCGAAGGGACGATAACATCCAAGCAAAAAAAGAAAAAAAAAACTAAGTACAAAATTCTAAAGCCCTCGGCTCCTACCTCCGGCCCCTCCGAAGGCCTTGTTGAAGGGAGGGTACTTTTCATCGGTCTCCCCTATGAAGCGGTACCTCCGGAACCCGAGGGTGTACAAATCCTCCTCGAGGGTGCAGTCCTTGATCGCCACGTTCTTGTTTTTCCCCTCCGGGAACTTGGCCAGCTTTAGGCCGTCTTTCTCGAGAGCGGCACTCCGGATCTTTTCGTGCCTTCGGAATCGGTCACGTAGCTCCCTCGGGAAGGGGCTCTCATCCAACTTCACGTAGCACCAACGTTCCCTCCATCCTTTGTTGGAAGAAGGAGCATCGGAGAATAGTTTGAAGCGGGCAATCTGCTGCAGGTTGGCGTACCCCTCGCCGTTTTCGTGCCCCCCCGGCACAGATTAAAACTCTGGAAGAATAGATCCAGGCTGGGTTTCACCCCTCGGGACTTGCAGAGCTGGAGGAACCCCGCAATGTAGGAGTGGCTGTTGGGCGTGAGTTGGCAGGGGACCAAGCCAACAAACCGCAAATATTCCCGGAGGAATGGGTGCAGAGGGAACCTGAGTCCCATGGAAACCGAAAGGACGTGAATAGCAATACACCCCTCGGGCGCCCTGGATAACACGTCGTCGGGACCCGGCTCCACCACTTCGGCCGAGGGCCCCACGTGCAGCTGAGTCACGTACAGATCTGCCCTGTCGGCCTTCGACCTGATCTCGAGGGCCTCAGTGTTCAGCCAACTGTACCCCTCGGGCATGTCCACGGGCTTTCCTTGATCGACGGCCCTCTCCTTCTTCTTGGTAGCGGCCTTCTTCTTCTTCACACCGGAAACCGCCTTCAGAGGTATCGGATCCAACGGCCTCGAGCTACTGGCCTCCCCAGAACCCCGAGGGGGGAGAACAGCAATCGTAACCTTCGAGCTCTCATTCTGTGCCTCATCCTCCGCTGTCTGCCAGGCGAGGGCTAAGTCTTCATCATCGCACTCCTGCTCGAAGCCCTCGGCTTCAACCTCCGCAGTGAGTTCCTTCTGGACCTCCCGGGTCAGGGCCGCATCACCACCATCCGAGGGTTGACCACTGCTTGACTCCACGTCAGAGATGCCTTCGTCCTCCATCGAGGGCGTCCTCGAGATATCTTGAGAATCACTCTCGGACGACATTCGCGCTCTAGTTCGAAGGCTCGCACAACTAGTGTTTTCTAAACGTTCTATCTCCTAGCCTAGGGGCGCAGTACAGGTAGCTAAGAGGTGAAGGGTAACTGGAGAACTGACCTTAAGAACAGAGGATTCAACCGGGGGCTGCTGTTTCTCTCTCTAGAAAAATTGGCAGAGCTTCGCTAACAAGTTTTTCGCACACAGAGGAATGCCCGGCCTTGGGGTATTTATAGGCGCTGGAATCCGGGCTTGGGCCTGGGTTCCGGGCCTCCGGATGGACGCCATCATTACTCACCGCGTCTTCGCCCAACCGGTGACGCCGCCCACGGACAGCCAGCCATCACACGCCACGTGTTCCCCCCCCCCCCCCCCAACGGCTATATCCCGTCGTTACATATTCCAACGGCTATATTTCCAACGGCTATATTTTGGAAGCCCCCGGGCTTTCTGCTTCACTCCACTTCATCAAGGACAGCCTCCGGGTGCACCCACCCAGAAGTGCCCCCGGGTTGTGCCCCACATGGCACATTACACACGCCTTCGGGATCACTCCTTCAGATCCCTAGGGCTGCATATCAGGGCACCTCTCGGGGTTTCCCCCTCAGCACTGCAAAACCGGGTAGCCCCCGGGGAGTGCCTCATTGACGGAGGGCCCATGGCACACAGGTAATGGGAGCCCTCGGGTATCTTCATCACCAACTCATCAACAAACAGTGGACCCCCCGATAACAACTTCACTGCTGCCCTCATCTGGCAGGCCCTCGATCCCTGGATTGAGGGGCTCCCCTTCGGCACCACCAGGACATCAACAGCAAGCCTTCGGCAAATCAACACAGGAGCCCTCAGAAGAGAGAGCCTTCAGCATTCCCGTCATTCTCCATTTTTCACCGAGGTTTGACATTTTCGATTCATCATTGGGGGAATTCGGTGCACTCTTTTTCCCTCATTAGGATTTTTTCCCAAAGGGTTTTTCCTAATGAGGTTTTTAACGAGGCATCCCCCCAAAATGAAACGAAAAGCGTCAGCCTTCGGCCCACAACAGCAACGTAACTGCTTTACTCCTTTTCACCACTTTACAAGTGCCTCAAGGAGTGGGGGACTGGAGGACCCCTTCGGGAAAACCATTAAATTACAAAATCTGTGAAATTCCAACAAACAACAAAGCAAGCCCTCAAGTCCCGACATGTGGGTAACTGAGGGACTGCCTTCGGCAGGGACATAAAAGCAACAACTCCTCACCAACTTCAGGAATCACGATGGGACAACATCAAAGGGCAAGCACAAATTACTCCTTTTCCCTCAAGTACCTTTCGGCAAAAGGAGTGAGGGACTCCTGATGGAGTATATGGCCCGGGAACCCCCGGCCCACAGACTCCTACTACTCCAGCGAAGGCCCAGCAGGCCCAACAGGCCCAAATCACAGCGCCCAGAGTGCCAAGCAGCCCGCACTACGCGCCAGGGGTGCCTTCGCCCCCCTGGCCGAAGGCTCTAAATTCTCACAGGACGGGTTTCTCAAGCAAACTAAGAAACTGGGAGAAAACGGCGAAAACAGTAGCCCTCGGCACCCGGGGTAGCCATCGGGTGGAAGAGCCCTCGGCTACTGCTCTATGGCCGAAGGCATCTCACTCGACAAGATATCCGCCTCACATGCGTACAGATCACCGTACTCTGCACAGACGTCCCATCCAACAGCCGCATTAAATGCGGCCACATGCGGCTGCCAGCGCCAACCAGTTGAGGCGACCCCTCGGCCAATGAGCGCTTGACACGTGTCCCTGCCTGGCATTTATTGCTGCTATAAATAGCCCCCCTTTTCCCCATTTGTAACCACGCTGAAAACGCTCCACATTTATAATACACTCTCTCTCTACATATTTACCTGCTCTGACTTCTCTCTAGATTACTCCCCGTAATAACCCCTCGGATATATACCCCCGGGTACACTATCCATCACCACGTTTGACCCAAGAGTTACAAGACACGTAGTCGTCCACTCACCTCGAAATGACGCTAGCAAGCTTGTATCCTCTTCGTTTGAACTCCGGCGACTTTTGGAATTTTCCGGCGAAAACTCCGGTGGCTCCGGTGACTTTTCCGGCCACTCCTAGATTCTTTGAGATGTCTAGAATACCTTTGTAAAATTCCTAACAAGGTTTCACAACCAAAAGTGGTGTAAACATCAAAACCTTCCGGGAAGGTGTTTTCCGGCGAACCGGTCTTACTCCGGTCATAACTTCGTTCATGGTCAAAACTATCCTTCCAACCCCTCATTATACACCTCTAGAAGTGTAGAACAATCTTATGGGTGTATCATATGATTTATAAAATCATATGAGATTAAAATGAAGAAGAAAAATACTAGTAAAGTCATTACCTCATGTTTTTCTAGGTTTTCTTTACTTTCTCTATCCCTTCTTCTTCCTTGAGCCTTCCTCTTACTTGAGCTCGGTTATGGATATGGAGGAATGGTGTTGAAGAGCTCTATCTATTGTTTTTGGGTTTGGTTGGCCGAAATATTTTGTAGGTGTTGGTTGGGGAGACTTTTCTCTTCTCAATCACACAAATGGGTGTGAGAGGGAGGTCCACCTTGTCCTTTTTTATGCTAAACCTCTCCAATCACCCATAATGCATCCCCCATCACACTCCATCCCTCAACTTGGCTGCTTGGTTGCACAATTACGTGGGATGGCCCCCACTCATGTGGGAGGTCATCCATTTAAGTCCCAAAGTGTACAATCGTTCCCGGAAGTTGTATTTTTCATACTGTTTTAATTAAATTTTATTTTATCGGACCAAATAAAATATATATCATTCTTCCGATTAATATTGGCCCCTAGAATGAATATATATTATTCAACTTTAATTTCGTGGTTCTAGGAACTTATTTCGGGCTGTTATCTGTTAAATTACCAATACCGATAATGGGACCGCTCTTGATCAAACGGCCGACTCTATGGCTAAACATAAATATAAACCATCATATAAATATCATCTAGACCAAGATGAATATAATATGTGATCCCGGAAATATTGGATGGCCCCCGCTCATGTGTGGGGCCGACATGCATTTTACTGTTCAAATAACAGTAAAAAATGAGAACACGTTGTCTCGTAAATTAATTTGTCGTTTCTCTTGACTCAATAAGTGTTTTGATATTTTGTGACACTTTAATAAAATGTTACACTTCTTTTTAAGTGGTCCAAAATGTATGAACAGGTAAAATCTTATCTGTTTGTTCCCAAAACAAAATATCTTTAAGGTAGGGTCCTCCAAAAGTACCCTCCTTTAATGTACCAAATTAATCATATATATATCAACCAATTGTTTTGGATTCTTAAAATATTTATATTTCTTCTGTCATTAATTCATAGTCTTTCGAATTATTAATAGTCCGAGAATTAAGGGCTCACAATTATCGATTAGTGGTCCCGACCCACGTGACCGTCTAGTTGTCATTCTATATATCACTGGGGTCCACGACCCATTCCTACTATCAAAATAGTATTGTTTAGATCAACATTAATTTTTTTATACACTAAGAATACCACGGGTGGTCCCCGCTCCTGATGTGGGTCCCGCGTCTGATTAATAATCCTTTATTAATTTAAGACATTAATTTTATCTTTCTCATTTATCAAGGCTACTCTAGTCTTGATTTACCTTCGTTAACCATGTACTTGATGAAAAAAAATCTCTAGGTAAAATTCGGGTTCGGTGTTACACTTACAAATGTAATTGACAATTCATACAAGTACATATCACCATATGATATAATGTGTCTTTGTTTTTTAAAAAAATGATGACCGGTCAATTTGAATGGATTTTGACATTCTGGACTCAAATGGACTCAATTACATATTTTGAGTTTTATGACCAAATGCTACTATGGCACACTTTGTGAAAAGTAAATCACAAAAATTTACTTCATACAAATAAATGGTCTATTTTGTGGCATACTTCTCCAGATGTATATTAGTTAGCCATTATAAATCAAGAAATTATGAGACTAGTGAATGAGATTTATTGTTATTATGTCCTTTTTAAGAAAGATAATAACAATGATTTTTGGGACAAGGAAATATGTCAAGAGTTATTTGGAATCAACTCTCGGATGAAATGATACCGCATCTTGATGTGTTTCGTTCTGCTATGAAACACCGGATTCTTCGCGAGATGGAGTGCACTCGGGTTGTCACAATATAGAACACAATCTCCTTGTTTCATGCCCAACTCCGAAAGAAAATTCTTCAACCAAATCAACTCCTTGGCCGCTTCAGCAAGGGCCATATACTTCGCTTTTGTGGTTGAAAGAGCAACGCTCTTTTGTATTCTGGACATCCAACTGATTGTTGTACCTCCAATAGTGAACACATACCCTGTAGTGCTTTTCCCAGAATCAAAACAGCCCCCCAAATCAGCACCGGCAAATCCTTCTAGGATTACACCATTCCTCCTGAAACAAAGGGCAGTTTCAGAAGTGTCCTTCAAGTAGCGTAACAACCACTTGACTCCTCCCCAATGTTCCTTCCCTGGATTTGACATGAACCTGCTAACGACTCCCACTGCATGAGCAATGTCTGGCCTTGTTGACACCATAGCGTACATCAAACTTCCAACTGCTAATGCATAAGGAACTTTAGCCATTTGTTCCTTGTCTTCATCACTCTTTGGAGACTGTTGCTTGGAGAGTTTCAAATGACTCCCTAACGGTGTACTCCTTTGTTTGGCATCTGTCATTCTGAACTTCTCAAGGACTTTCTGAATGTACTTCTGCTGTGAAAGCTTTAAAGTACTTTCCACCTTGACTCTGACTATGATCATCCCAAGAATCTGTCTCGCCTCCCCTAAATCCTTCATCTCAAACTCTTCGGAATTTAGCTTGTTGATCTCCTGCATGTTTGATCCAACCACCAACATGTCATCAACATCCAATAGAAAATAGTGTGTGATGACTTGAATTTCTTCAAGTAACAGCAATGGTCCATCTTCCATCTAGTGTATCCATTCCGCTGCATAAAATTGTCAAACTTCAAGTACCATTGTCTAGGAGCTTGTTTCAGCTCGTATAGACTTTTCTTGAGTTTGCACACCAACTTCTCCTTACCACTCACTAGGAAGCCCACTGGTTGATTCATGTAAATGTCTTCTTAAAGGTTGCCATGAAGAAAGGCAGTCTTTACATCCAGCTGCTCCAAATGCAAATTTTCAGCAGCAACGATACCAACTATCAACCTAATAGTAGTCATCTTCACAACTGGAGAGAAGATTTCATTGTAATCAACCCCCTTTTTCTGTTGGAACTCTTTGACAACTAGCCTGTCCTTGTATCGTTTGCTCCCATCTGCTTCATCTTTGATTCTGAACACCCACTTGTTCTCAAAACCTTTCTTTCCCGGTGGTAATTTGACTACGGACCAAGTTTGGTTCTTGTCAAGTGACTCTAACTCATCTTCCATGCTTTTTTCCACTGTATGGAGTCTTTCACTGTCAACGCCTTTGAGTAAGATTCTAGCTCTCCATTCTCGGTTAGAAACAGATAATTTGCTGAAGGAGAATATCTGTTAGGAGGTCTTCGATTTCTAGTGGACTGTCTAATGTTTGGAGTAGCTGCCTCTGAACTGTCACTATCTTCATCACTCCCACTATTTTCTGAAATTCCTGAATCTCCTGAGCTCCCACTGCTTCCTGAGCCTCCAGTCGTCTCATCAAAACTGATCAGTTGTGCTATGTCATCTTCTGTTATCCCGTTAAACACCACTTGTTGTTTGTTTTCTGGTTGCCTGTCTTTGCTTGTATCTGCTGCAAAACCATCTTTATACAGGGCATTCTCGTTGAAGGTGACATCTCTACTTCTGATAAAGGTACATTTCTTTGCCATTGCCTCAAGTTTGTCACTATCTGCATCTTTAACTTTGACATAAGAAATACAACCAAAAACTTTCAAGTGAGTAAGGGATACCTCTCGACCTTTCCATTCCTCTTCTGGAATTTTGAACCCTATGGGAGATGAGGGTCTTCTGTTGATCAAATACGCTGTTTTGTTCATTGCATCAGCCCAGAACATCTTTGAAAGTCCTGCATGCAATCTCATGCTCTTTGCCCTGTCATTCAATGTTCTATTCATCCTCTCTGCAACACCATTTTGCTGTGGTGTTTTTGGAACCATCTTCAGCATCCTGATTACTATGTTCAGCACAATATTCTACAAACTCTGTGCTACTGTACTTACCCCCATTATCATTATTTAAACACTTAATCTTAAGATTTGTTTCATTCTCAACTGCAGCTTTGAACTTCTTAAAAGTGTTAAAGACATCAGATTTATTTTTAAGAAAATAAACCCATACCTTTCGTGTAGAGTCGTCAATGAATATAACATAGTAATGGGAACCTCCAATTGAGGAGACTTTTGTAGGTCCGTAAATGTCTGAATGAATCAGCTCCAGCCTCTCAGTCTTGGGTGGTTGTCTTGTCTTCACAGAGGTAACCTTCTTTTGTTTGCCAAGAACACATGGCTCACAAAAGTTTAACCTTGAATTCTTCAAGACTGGAATTTTGCCTTTTGAAGATAACATCGTCATTCCGTTCTCACTCATGTGCCCAAGTCTTTGGTGCCACAGAGTGGAGACCCCTGTATCTTCAACCGCTGCATTAGCTCCATCTGCAGACACTTCAACCATGTACAGTGTACCCTGTTTTTGCCCGTGAGCAATAACCAGCTTTCCCTTTGTTACCTTCCATTGCTTGTTGCCAAAACTCACGTTATGGCCTTCCTCATCAAGCTGTCCCACTGAGATTAACATCTTCTTCAGGTCTGGAATATGCCTCACATCTTTCAGTTTCCAGGTTGTTCCCAAAGTGGTACTGAGGACAACTTCCCCAATACCCGTGATCTCCACAGATTTGTCATCCGCCAAACGAACTCTTCCACTGTAGGGCTTGAAATTTTGCATCAATTCCTTGCAATGACAGGCATGAAACGACGCACCTTGAAATGAGACTATAACTTTAAAATTTCTTAAATAGGACTAGCTTTCCGATTCTACCATTGCTTTGTTTTAATACAATTCATATTTCAATAATAATAAAACATAAAAGTAATAATATTACTTTAAGTATAATAAAAATCTAAAAAAATAAAAAACAGGAAAACAAATACTCCGTATTAAATAAAATTAATAAAAATAAAAATTAGGAAAATAAAAAATTTTAAAATAAAAAAAAATTAAAAAGTAAAATAAAAAGCGTAAGTATTATAAAAAAATATGCAGGCCTCTGCTGTCGCCTCAACAACCACCTAGCACAACCAGCTCCGATCATCAAAAAACAATGCCAAAATGTGCTAGAAATGTCATCTTGATGGCAGTTTTAGAGAAAACTTTGACATTTTCAAAGAGTAAAAATTCTATAATCATGGATTTTCAGAGAAAATAACACTTTTTACAAAAATTGGCATTTTTTCCTCGATCAGATGTGGCATTGTTGGGCGGTGGGCCAGGCTACGGGAAATGCCTCCATATCTTTTTATGTTTTTAATTTTTTTAT